CACGAATTCGGAACAAAATAAAACAAACAATAAAATTGAACGCTCTAGAATAAAAACAACGTACTGAATGGTTGTTATATCAAAGCGGAACACGGCGTTTTTTTAACATAGATTTGCTGTTGTAAGGCATTAGTTGTTTTTATTCTTGATTTCACCAAGATTAAGTCTTTAACTCGCGCAATACTTTCTGTGAATATTGTATTTGTGTTTCACCATAATGAGTACAAATATATAATGCCAAATTAAAGACATGAATAATATGCATAAGATGTCATCTATGCAGACAATATATTTAGCTGTCGTCATCTGGATATTACAGCTCATCTGGATATCGTCAGCACATGATGTGAAGTGAAAACAATAGAAGTGATTGTTATAGGTATATAAGCTTGTTATTACTATAACAATCAACAACAAAGAACAAAAAATAAGATCAATTGGTAACAGCAAGCCGCTGAAAAAACACTATTGACAAGATTCTATTAATTTTTTTATTTTATTACAAAACGATATGAAATAAATACATATTTGTAATAGGGAACGCTTGTATTTTCATTTTAAGACTAATAAACTATTTCAAACATTATTATAGTTTACGTATGGTTCATAGTCAATCTCTATACTTTAGTTTTCAATTTTTCGTCGGTAAATGTAAAGACATATAAATTCAATAATCCACGGAACTGCGCACATTGCCATTACAAATGTAAGCGAATGGAAGCAAACTATATATGACGAGGTTATATCACGAATCCAACCAACGAAGGGACCAAATAGAAAAGTTATGTTGCCGCTCAACATCATGAATAAACCATAACCTGATGGAAATCTGAAATGGTTTTGATTGACTTTATTAACTCAGTTTCTCAAATTAAGTGAATGTTTGTTACCTTTCTTGTGACAAATGGTCTGCGAATACCAATGGCAAGGGAACATGAATCCAAGTGCGAAAAAATCCCATCAATGCTGTGATAGCGGCCATTCCAACAAAGTCGAATACATACAAAAATACTAACATTTAAACGTTTTAATGAAATATTATTTTTAGATGCAATCAAAACCTACTAAAACGAGTTACAATTGTAAGAACTGCACCAGCAAGATAAATGTGTCGGGCTTTCACTTGAATGCATAAACTCATCACCGCCATAAATATTCGCGATCCTAAATCAGCAGCGGCGCCGATTGCTATTATCACACTTGCATCAGTCTATTATAAAATGGAGATGAATTAATCAAAACTGACAGACTTTTTTATCAGAGCTCAAATAAAACTCACTTTTGAAAATCCCAATTCAAACAAATACATCGGCTGCAATGTAAAAAATGCAGTATCAGAGTACAAGGCGAATCCACAGCCGAGAGCAATATTCACATAAATTAAGTCGTTAAACAGTGTTAAATCAAGGAAGTCCACAACTTTTTGCCTTTTAGAAAAAAATCAAAAATTAAATTAAAAAATAATTTTAATTGAATTTAAATACCATTTTCCATTTTTCTTAGTTGGTTTGAGAGCTTCACTGACAATAACAGCACCAGTCCAATTTCCTAAGCTCGAAATGCTTGAAACACGTCTTTGAGTGGGATCGAAACCATCGAGGATTTGTGTCGGATCTAGTGATTTACTTCGCTGACTTTTCACCAATTCAGCGTTAATTTCATTTTGAGTTTGTTGATCGCTTGGAATTTCGTTTTCTATATCAATTTGTGGTTTTAACTCACAGTCATTCTCCGATAAAACAACTATCCTTACTTCTGGCTTGTTTGTATTCATTACTGGAAAATGTGTGACAACATAGAAGTAGTGAGAAGAATTAAGAAAAATTTAAATACAAATGAATATTTTACATGGTAGGTCTTCATCAATGCGAACTTTGTACACTTTATAATGCCATTCGATGGGATGCATAACTATCATGCCAAAAATCACATGACCGTTCAAAGCTGCGACCATTGCCATCGTACCACGAAAACCATATTTATCCATAAAAAATTGTACCATGATTGGATACAGCATCGTCCCGACTCCGATTAAAGATTGCGCAACGCTCATCATGACAACGCGTTTGTTGACAAAATACAGATTGAATGTCGTATATGCAACTGGAATCATGAAACCAAATCCAGCACCTTTTGGAATTTTTTTGCTTTAATGTCTTTGCTTCATCGTTTTGCCTTGTTTAAAATTACCTTGAAATATGCTAAACGAAATCATCAGCTGTTCAACTGAAGTTACAAATATTGTCATCAGACTGCCCACAAAGTACATGGTGGCCCCAAATATTCCAACCTTTCGAATTGACATTTTTTTAAACAGAGTATTTGTGAATAGCCCAGCAAAACTAAACGCACAGAAAAATGTACTCGTTATAATTGTGACTGCGCTAGTTTCTTCGCCCAAGCCTAACAGAAAATCGTTGAACATCAATCCAAATGAAGGCATACTACTTAAAGCAAAAATCTAAAAAAAAAAAACAAAAAAAAATCGTTTAAAATCTATTTGAAAGAGTTTAAAAATATCATATTTACGAAAGGCATCGACATTCCAATTGCCACCAAATATCCAAAGCCTCCTTCAGGTGGTACTTTCACTGTACGATAGTTCTTTATTTCCATTATCGAGTCACTCATTTTCAATTTAACTTTATTAGACTACAATTGAGTTGATTGCAAGCTATTAAATACTAAATGTTATTTCGTTAGATGTAAACATATTTGTAGTTATCTCTTGCTCTCCGTTTGAAGATGAATGATGGTTTTAAAGTAAGCCTATGATATAAAAGTGTCTTTCATGTGAAAATTCATGACACTTACATGTCATTTTTTAACATTTTCTTATCTTGGCAAAGAAGTGACTGACGCTTACGGAACTAATCTCAATTTGAACTGAAGAAAAGTAAATTATAATTTACTTTTATTATTACTAGATATGAGGCCCAGTTTCATGCATTATTTTTATTTTGTATAGAAAATCATCCAAAGCTATGAAACAGAAACACTACGCTTCTTCTACGCGCCCACTGTTGAACAAAGATGTGAACTCAGTGCGTAGCTGCAATGGCAATACTAACGTCAAAATAACGAGGTTCATGGCTCTGAAATCATCTGAACAAACTGTGAAAATTACTGCCAATTTTATTTTTGTTTTGTTTTTAATACTCTTTTACTTCCCATTTTGGATCAAAGTAATGGTTTTTATCTCAAAACTAATGCGCAAGACAGAATCAGTGCAGAAGTAAGTACACAAAGATAGATAAGGAACATACAATAAAAGGAATGTTCAGTGTTTATTGCTGATGAAGAATATGGCTTTGGTATTTTATTACAATTCTTAAATCTAAGAGAACTGAGCTCTCACGTGTATTATCTTAAATTGTATTTACATATTATAATTTCTTAATAATGATTCACTATTCATAAATGTTCTCAAACAGAATACAATATTAAATAAATCATAAGTGAGTATCAAAGATTTTAAAATAAAACTCAATTTGATGGACTTTGCGGATAAAGAAGTTTTGTCGTTTTTCAAAAAGAAAATTTAAAGCATAAGTGAGTAGCTACATATATATCAGTAATGTGCCAAGGGGGGGTTTATTTCTTTGTATGACTTGCAACCACTAGAAAAGAAATACGAGAATTGAAATTGAAGTAATTAAACATAAATCATCCAATGATGATTAGCATTAAACCAGCTAGTATCAAGCAAAGTAGAATGATATCATTTATGAGAATAAAATGGTTCATCAATTTTGACCCAACTACTATCTAGTTGGCCCGAAAATTGAACTTATAAAAAAATTCACCCATAAATTCTTGAGGATGCATCATATTGTTTGAATTCAATTAAAAAAAACGATTAAGCGTTTCTAAAAGAAAACTAACATGAGGAACTAAGCTACACTAAATGTCCCTGCATTATTGTCACACCAGAAGAGTTCATCATTGTTTGAATTTAATTGAAAATTGTATTCAAAGAGTTAAAGGGCGACGACGACGACGACGATGATGAACCCCTTCTATCGCAAGCCATTAAAAAGAAAAAACCCGATGCATCAATGCAATTTAAATTGGACTCAATTCATCTACCCTACTTCAACGGAGATTTAACAGAATGGGTCCAATTCAAGGAGTTCTTTAACTATCTTATCCATGAAAATGACAATTTGTCAGACACTTTGAAATTCCACCAATTAAGAACTCATCTGAAAGGAACAGCCTACGATACGATAAAAGGCTATCAATTTTCCGGAGCCAACTACAAATCAGCATGGATTGATTTGAGAAAACGATACGACCGTGTCGAAGAAATTGTTCATGAATACATCAGGAAATTTATGGAGGTCCCAGCTATCATCAATCGAGCAACGTTCGGCAGGATACGAGCAATCATTGACGCAACAAACCAGATGCTCAGAGCCTTACCAAGTCATGGAGCTGACATATCTGGCTGGGACCCAATCGTTGTGTTTTTAATCACCTCCAAATTAGATGATGAAACTCGGTTCGACTGGAAACAACAAAAGAGGGAAAAGAACCAACTGACAAAAATAGCAGAACTCCTGGACTTTTTGGAAACGAGAGCAATAGAACTACAACCCCAACAAGGAGAAAGGTTTAGTCAAATGCTAAAAAACAGCTGTACACAACCAGCTAGGAAGATATTCCAAATTACACCAAAACAGGGAGAATCATCAAAAACAACTTTAAAATGTCTCATTTGCGGAGGACCTCATCGCCTCCGGAATTGTGAGAAATTGAAGGGAGAATGTGCCAAGGTGAGGACGGACATGATAAGAGCTCTGAAAGTGTGTTTTAAATGCTTGTTGAACCAATTCGGAATGTGCGACTCAGAAACTGCAGTTATTGTGGGGGACCACACAACATACTTCTCTGTTACAAGAAAGAAAATGATCAGAAGAAACAAACGGAGAATTCACGAAATATACTCCACTTGAAAAAGTCTGAAGAGTTCCAAACCATCAACATCAACTCATAAACCAAATTGGTTTCCAAGAAAAAGAGGAAGACCACCAAGTCCGGATTACAAAAACGAAACAAGTGATTGGGATAACACCAAAGAAAGGAAATGACTAAATTCAATTCATCAAATCAACAAGGAGCAACACAACATCATTTTAGGGACTGCAGAAATTCAAATATCAGAAACAACAAATTCAGAAATTTCAGTTCGGGCATTATGCGATAACGGTTCGCAAGTCAATTTAATATCCTTAGAAGTAATCCAAAAAATGGTGAAAAATTAACACCAGGAAAAATAACTTAGTAAAGGCAATTTTATAACAGATTATTTTTATGTAGTTAAAAATATTACAAATTATGCCCCGAATGAAATTAATTCTAAATGGAGTCAAATAAAAGAAAAATTAGCAGATAAAAATTATAATAAGGAAGGAAAAATAGAAGCATTACTTGGTATTGGAATTTGGATTAAAATTGTTAAATCCAAAATATTAAAGTCAGAAGATCAATTGTCAGTTGCTCAGCAAACTAAGCTTGGATTTGTAATATTTGAATTAAATAATGATCCATATAAAAACTTAAAACCATATATACAGCCCAATTTGCTGCACTTTAGCTAAATGAACAACAATCTATGGCAGCATTATCTGCAGATCAAGAGCGAATCCTTAAAGATCCAAATGAAAAATGTCACATTTGCGGTCACGGTTTTGAATCGAATGAGGTGTGAGTACGCGAACATTGTCATATTACTTCTCGCGTAAGAGGGATAGCCCACGTTAAATGTAATTTAAATTATAAAGACAGTCAAAAAATCCCGGTTGTAATGCATAATTTATCCGGATATGACTCACATTTATTCATGAGGGAATTATCGTACTGAATAGATGAAGATATTACAATTATACAATTGATTGCATCATTGTCAAATGATGAGAATTTTTGATAATTTGGAAAACAATTGAATTTTCTAGAATAAATTGAACTAAATCAAAAGGAGTAAACAAAGCCATGAAGAAATAAACAAAACGGTCGAAGAATTGACCAAAACGCAGAGTGAGCAATTATACAATCTCAATGGTTATTTGGGACCAATAATATTGAAAGGGAAAATCATTATTCAAAATCTATGGAAAGACAAACTAAATTGGGATGAAAAAATTAGTGGTTCCATAGAAGAATGTTGGTAGACTTAAAGAATTTAAGTTTAGTTGAATTACAGAAAAATGTAAAAAATTGAGCTGCATGGCTTTTGCGACGCATCAGAAAAGGGATACGGGTGTGTGATTTATGTCAGAATAAGAAATTATGGGAAATTCGATAATGAAACTCTAGCGTCAAAATCACGAGTGGCCCCATTAAAAACAACTACAATTCCAAGATTAGAATTATGCGCAGCAAACCTATTAACAAATCTAATCGAGACGATATATCAAACTTTCGAAAGGGAAATCAAGAGAATTGTTGGACTGATTCACAAATCGTCCTTCAATGGTTACAAAAAACATCAACCAGTTTAAAAACGTTTGTAGGGAATAGAGTGTCAAACATTCAAACAACAGTAGAAAAATATAAAATAAAATGGAATTGGATCGCTGGACAACTGAATCCAGCAGATTTAATTTCAAGAGGATCATCAGTTTTAGAAATTCTTCAAGAATCAAAATGGTGGAATGGTCCAGAATGGTTAAAATTAAAAGAAAGGGGGTGGCCAGAACAACCACAAATCTTCTCACAAAAAGTTCAAGAAATTGAACAAGAGATGAAAACAATTCACTTAACACAAAGTGAGGACAAAGGTCTACAAAAGGGAAAATGGTTCAAGGATAAAGGTAATGCAAGGAGTTATCCATTGTTGGAATCATGTGGTGAATTTAACAAACTGTTAAGAGTAACAGCAACCGTAATAAGGGCAATTCATGAGTTATTTTTAAGATCACTGTAAAGCCGCGAAATATGTACGCGTGCTTAGTTACAATCATTTTTTGATAAATTTACGATCAAACTATGTACGTCATGAAAATGACAAAAATAAACCAGGAACTAAAAAAAAGAGAAAGAGAAATTCAATGGAAAACTAAAATTAGCATTTTATCGTGACCAAAAAAGGACACATAGACCTAAGGAAAAATGTATAAAAGCAGAGGAAATCGCCTCTGTTAGTTCAGTTGACCATTGGCAAGGCAGTAAAAAATGAATAAATAAATCCAATAATAACAGTTGTGAAGTGTGAAAAAACTAAAATACTTATCTTTTATTTCAACCAGCGATTTTATTTAGAAAAACTTGTGTTATGTTATTTGTTTGCATTTAAGAGTGCAAACAAAATGTTTAAAGTACAAAGAACCATTATTTCCTATAAACAAGGCCATCGAATATGACGAAAATAATCCAAATTTAGAAGTAGATCATCATCCAGATAAAGAACAAATTTCGCGGTGTAAAAAGTGTAAAACAATATTAGTGAGAGATCTTGAATTAGAACTAGAAAGTGGATGGCGAGATATTGAGATAAATAAAAATTTGTAAATGAAGATAACAAACAGTGTGCAATCGTTCTTCCAAAACGAAGATTAATTGTTGAAGAAAGTGAAGTTTAAAATAATAAATTAAAATAATTTTGAATATAAACTATAAAAAACTGAATAAAAATGAGTGATCAAGTAAAACAATTGCTTCAGCAATTGAAAGATCAAATAAACAAATGTGTTTTAATGTTCCAAAGCGAACATAATCTGTTATGTTGCATTTGGAGTGTACTAAACTTCAACAAAAAATGCATTTAAATATTGGAACAACTGGACGAAATAAGGAAGCAATTTCGAAAGGTTTAATGAAAATATAGATAACCAAGAAATATTTTTAAGAAAAAATATCAAAATTAAAATGTTTTTAATGTTTTAAATTTAAAAAAATGAGAAAAAGGGAGTGTTAACATATTTAAAATCATATTACAGTATTTGGCCAATGAGAGGATGTGAAGACTTCAAGTCTCTTTGAGCCGACGGTGGCGCACCGAATTTCAAAGGGGACGTCAATGTAATTTTACAACTCAAATCGAAACTAAACAGCGCGCCAATTTTAAAATTTGCTGTCATTTCCTCCCATTGTATTTGGCATATCAATTTCACTTACAATTATATAATCAATAGAATATTCCTGATCTAAAAAATTGGATTCGCCTTTCGTTTCATTATCACCATCAGGAGCTGCTCAATCAAAAAATTATTAATAATTCCGTAATCGGTTGATTTTCCAAATTTGAACCAATTGCGTAATTCCTTAGCTATCGATATATGTATATTTTCGATCTGGATTTGGTGCGTGATATCATAATGTTTTAATCGTAAGGGTCCTCGAATCTGTACTGAATTTGAGAGAAATATGTGTTAGAATCAATCAAAGCAGCAAAGAATTCTGAAAAATCTTACAAGTAATTATTGGTTGTGGATTTTGATCGTTTTCCAATGGCTCTCATTATCTCGCAACAAATACGGAATCAACCATGCGGACGTACATTGGAATGCTGTTACAATGGTGCTGTATAAATCGTTGCTATGAGCCGTATAAGTGAACGTTGTCTACTAATCACAGACCATTTAACGCTTACACTCATTGTCAATTGTATCTGAAGAATTTTTTTTGTTTATTCACAATATTGCTTCAAAGAGAAGAAAACATTTGCTTACCAGAATATTTGATATTCATTCGAGCGAAACTATCAGGCAATCAGCCTCGCTGTACTGCTGCCAGTCGAACTTGAACAGTCACTAGTTATTACAGTGAATCGCTTGCTTTCGATTGAAATTCATCCCGAACCAATTTCATATCATTTTTTACTGAAAAAGAAGAAACTTTTGTACTATCACTTTTTTCTATTTTGAATTTTGACCCCTGCGCCGAATTTTTGAAAAGAAAAACACGATCAAATTTTTAAGAAAGTCGATTTTTGAGACCCTGACATTGAAGTTTCAATTTAGAAAAAGAAACACCATGTGAAATATGTACTTTGCATACACGTAATTTTTAGAATTTTATACTTGGAAAGTTTTCGGGATTTGTTTTAATACCAAACACACGTTTTGGTCCCAAGCAAGAAGAATTTTTCGATTAAAAAAAATTCGAAAATACGGCACTTGTCACACAATCGAAATGTGTACAATGTACATGTAGTATCTGCATTTATTTAATTTTCGAGGTACAATGAAAATCAAATCAATATCACAAAAAAGACATTTTTCAATCAAAAATCTAAACTCTCAAATCGATTCATTTTGCAATTTGAAATCACTCCAACCTGATTTTGGTGCGTGGTATTTTTTCTACAATGAAAAACAGTATTTTCCACTTGCAAAGCTTAAAAAAAGTAATTTTTAATAAACTCAAAATTCGTACTAATTCGCTTCCAAAGCACCATTTTTGAGAAAGAATTTTATGTTGGAACACTGTGCAGCAGTTGAAAGACGACTGACTGAACAACATTTTTATAGAAGATATGTTACTCTCGCTTAATTTGGAACAGGAGATTTTTTCATGAATATGCGTTGTAGGAAAATACTAGAGAAAATATGTGTAAATGAAAAGAAGATAAAAAGAGATCAATTGAGTGCGCACATGTTTATGGAAAATCCCAAAATAGCATGTGGCCACATCTCCATTTCGAGTGTAGCAGCATCGAGAATAGAATACAAAATGAATAGTCAGTGGAATGAGTATCAGCATTCAATGAAAATAGCACATCACCGCTTGAGACGAAACATCAAAAATAGAATA